TTGGTGCGGTCGGGAGCCTCCTCTTCGCTTTTCCGATCATCTCTGCTAGTGCTGGTTGTGTAATAGGTAGGAGGCAGCGGCTACCCGCGCTCTTCGTTTCAGGCTGTGGTGGCCAATGAAGCCAGGCTGGTTCGCTCCCTTTTCTGTCTGTGATTCCTGTCGCTTTTTGTACTTCTTCCACCCAAAACCATGCAAGAGCAGTCATTTTCAAAAGACCGCCTGAAATAAGTTTTTGAATCTGAGGACAGGGTTTTTAAGATCAATTGGCAAAGAGGGAAGCAAGTAGCAATTTACTGATGCTAATGGATAATATTTATGCTAGATGTACATCTTCCTCTTGGTTATGCACTTTCTGGATGCTGTGCTTGCCCTGCTCTTATTGATCACCAGCTCTGTGCCAGTCCTTTGCCATGTTGCTTGTGTTGCATTGCTTTATTTGATGGATTATTCCCTGTACTCGCCTCTCACTCCTGTCGATGTGTCTCCCCCCAGGGAGTGCTGGTGCTGCGGTGGCACCGTGTCGGTTCGATGGTGGTGCAGCAGATGGTTTCCACCTGCAGTTAAAGCCCTGCTGTGGCAGGGAGCAGGGTCCTTTGCTCACAGTGCAGCTCAGCCTTACGCTGGGTGGTGAAATCTCTGTGGTCATCCCCTTTTTGGTCCTGCATTGGTCTCATACCTGCTTTTTTTTCCTTAGTCTTCTCTCCCTCCATTCTGTCTCTGTGAGTTTTTTCCCACCTTCATTCCTCGCAAGCATCCACCCTAATGGATGCTAGCCCCGTGTTCCTGGTGGTGCCAGCCCCTTCTTCTTGCCTTCTTATCCTTTTTTGGCCTCCTTGGTTTTTTCTACCTTGTTCTTCAGGTCTTCTGTTCTGTTCTGTCCCTATCAGCTCCTTTTCCATGCCCTATTTCTCACTTTCTATTCCCTTAAGTACTCCCGTTCAAGGTAGCTCACTGCCTGCTCCCTCTCCCTCTGGAGAATTGCAGCCCGCACCTCCCTCTGCTTTCTCTCTCTTTCCTGTGTCTTTTTGCTTGGCATTTTCTTTTTCTCTCAGAAGACTGTGTACTTACCTTGAATTCCTACCATCTCTGTTTGCCGCTGTCTATTCATGTTTTCCATCTTATTATCCCACTTTCACATGAGGTAGCATTTATCTTTCTTTTTCACTGTCTATACACATGAATACCTTCTCTTCTTCTACCGGCTTTTGCCTGTCTAAACTTACATTTATATCTTGAACGACCTTTCTTTTTTATCAGGATCCTTCATGTAGGATGTATTGCTATCTAATAAAGTCCTCTCTCTTTCTTCCTAAGTCCCACTAACATTTTCCATTGTATCATGCTTGATCCTGATTCCCAGTTCTTCTTCTTAAAACTTTTTACTCAAGTCCTCCTTTCCATTAGGACTGGTTTGGAAACTGAGAAAGAAAAGGGAATTTTCTTGTATTTTGACAGTACAAGGAACAAGCCGCCAGGCTAGTTTTCTCTTTCTCCTCTCTTTTCTTTCTCTTTGCCTATTGCCTCTTTTCTTTCAAGATCACCATTTAAGAACTGCCCTCTTCCTCCCCAGCTGTTACCCCACTGTGACCTGCCCCTTCTCTGCAAACAGCACGTCAAAGGTAGGACAGGGAGCGGGAGCTGCTGATCGCAGCATTTAAATGATACTTTTCCCCTCAATATTCCTAAGATGACACGTACAGATATATTATCACATTTTATTTTTTCTGTGTTCCTGCATAGAAATGGTCTTATCAGATTTATAACGTGTATTTTCCTCTAGGCCATTTTTGAATAAGTATTTTTGCTTGGTGTCAGTACAGCATGAATATAATGCCAGCTTTTCATCTTTGGGCTCTCATAAAAGCATATAAACAATTGAAATGAATAGCACAGCCAGAGTTTGAAATAATGCTTTAGAGCTCTTGATGAAGTGGAGGAAATTGTATCCTGAAAGTTGCTGATGCTGGAGCAAATGACAGAATGAAACATGTCGTTTTCACCAAAGCTATTAGCTAATCACTTTTTCAAACATTTATTACGTTCTGGTCCCAGACTGTCAATGCTGAGGATCAGTTGTTTACTTTAAGGAGGCTTTAGGAGCAGACTAGCTTTATAATAAGAATTACATGAAAATTGTATCCAGTTAATCTCTTGAAATTCAACATTACCTCTCCCTAAGAAGTATCTGATGAGGCAGGATTGAGCTCATAACTGAACAACAGCAGTCAAGGCTTATGTCACATCCTGCAGTTTAAAACCCATTTATTGCTCAAAAATTACTCAGTTACTCAGATTATTAATCCCAAAGTAGCGTCTTACATTTTGCCTACCAGTGATGTCAGTACTGCTGATATCACCTGAAAATGAGGAGCACAGAGGTATAAATCCTTGGTTTGAAAGCAGAAGAGAAATTGCCACATGGTACACCTTGAGGCTGACCTTGTCGGGTGCCCAGATCATCTGAATGATTTTGCACATTCCATTCATTTTAGCAGGTAAAATAGCTCAGATTTGTGTTTGCTTTTTTTATCTAATCACTACGTTGTTGATAGTCTGTGTGTGCTGTATACTCCACTTTTATACAAGGAATCCCCAGCAACGCGGGGGCATGAGAGGAAGTACAAGTACTGATAGCAGTCATTCCAAATTGGGTCAAAAGCACCACTGGGAAAAACCTGATTTCGTGTCCTTGATGCACTGGAGAATTCTTCCATTCCTTGGGTTTGATCCAAAGTATGAGGACAATTTTGCTGGAGAGCTACTGCAGGAATTATAGGGGAAAAAAAGAGGTAGGAATTTTATGACTCATAAGGCTAAAGACTTTGGACTTCTACTTCCAGAGTAGGGTAATAGGGCAACTTAGTTCTCTTCTCTCCTTATGTAAACTGATGAAAGCAGGTAAAGGGTTCATGAATGTTGATTCCGGTTCCTGCCTGCCTGATCGATAAAGGCGTTGTTGTATGGTAGGCATAATAAAATGCAGTCACGCTGCTACTGTGCCCTCGTAGTGAAAACCGGGCTGGATGAAATAAATCTTTCCCTGTATGGATATATTGCCATACCCCAAAGCTTTCTAAAACATTAAGGGATAGAGTGAGACAATAAAAGGTAAGGAATTTGATTTCCCACTCTGTAAGGTCTAAATATCATTCTTTTGCAATAGCTTGCCACTGAATATCATAATAATGAAGACAAAAAGACAATATTCCTAACTACCTGCTCTATAAATAAATATCTGCCTAATAAATCAGAGCAAAAAGGGCAACATAGGCCACTGTGTGTTTAGGTCAATTGTTTGCTTTTACACAAAATTTTAGTGGTTGTAAGGGTAAAGATAGGAAAACACTACTGCGTTGCCAGCAAGGAGGGTGTAAACTGCTAGCTCTACTTTGATCGACATTATCTGCAGATTCACCAGAGGAAATGTATTAGCTGTAAAAGGAAGATCAGAATTTAGCCTATTGTGCTTGCTAAATTTTTCAGATTCCTGCCCTTATGTGTGCTGGTACAAGAAATATCACTATCAATTTATAGGAAGTGTCTTATAATTTATTGAATGGTTGAAACTTCTCTTGTCTCAAACAGCTGCCAATTTTCCAACCTATGAATATTAAAAATGCAACTCATGGAAAGTGCTCAGTGCGACGGATCTGGGATAGATTCACACAGGATTGGTCTTGTGTCTGCTGGTTTCTGTGAGGTTTATTACTTGCGTGTCAGTGAAGGAAGCAATTTAAACTCTGCTCTATGTGTGCATTTTAAGTATCAACCATAAAACCATTCAATCCCAATTCTCTACCACATTACATGTGCGCATTGACATTTAGACATGGAGAAGTGTGTATTACATTTTCTGAAGCAGAATGATTGAATTTTATATCCATTCTGCACTCTCTTTGGGTTATCCTAAAGGTAGGATTCACTGGGCAGCAAGACCCCCGGGTATTTTTGACATCGTTTTGGTCTAAGATGACTATCGGTGAAACGATGCCTTACTGAACTGTTGGTGGTTTTGGGCCTTGCTAAGAAATCAGCAGCATGAGCCTGCTCTAGGATACGTACCCTTGCCATCCACAGCGTTGTTTCCCCTCCGTACTTCACCCGTCGTAGTGCTTACCTGGTGGGGCAGCATTTTGGCGGCTGCCTGCATGGATCAGATAAGGAGGTCAGGAGCCAAGTCTGTGTCTTTTTCTGCTGTCCTCCTCCCATGCTGGGCAGTGAGAATTTGCTCCTACCCAGGAGAAGTCACACTGTGGCATCGTTTCTAGGACTAAGAAAGCCTCAAAAGAGTATTATATTATTACCGATTTGTTTAACAGTGGCCTGTGTTATCTAGATTTCAGAGCTTCCTAATTTTTCCTTACATATTGCCTTGCCTACCTAGTAAATGAATCCGTAAGTCTATAGAGAGCAAAATTTTAGCCTTTTTTTTCCTAGCATCACCCAGGAGATCTCTCATGTGCCCGCAGTTACAGGGTGTTAATTCCAGGGAGGAGGCAGACCAAACAGCATGGGAGATGCATGAGCAATACTTTTCCTGTGTTGGGACTTTATATGCAGAAAAGAAGGAGACGGCAGAGAGCTAACCTGAAACCCAGGAGGATGTCCTGCAGCAGGACATGTCAGCAGGACGATTCAGCCTCTCTAACTGTGCCCAGCCCCACCACAGAAGCAGACAATACAGGTACCAGTTAGCACGTTGTTTTCTGTGATGTTTCCCTGTGGATCTGGACCAGCGTCATCGTCTTTCACTACAGAGGAAGCTAAGAGACATAGGCTGCCATGGACACAGGGAAGACCTGAAATAACATGAGGTAGCACAGGGAGACTGATCTCTTTAATTGCACAACAAAATTAAATTAGCTTCCCTTCCATGTTCTGGTTTTGAAAGAACAGCACACTAAGCTGAAGCTTGCCTGGCTTGAATGCAGAATTTGCATGTGTGTGTTTGTCCAGTGTCTCTTCCAGTGTCTTTTATTTCTGCTTTTTTTTTTCACCAGAAAGAAACACCACTCGCCAATGCTGCATTTTGGGCTGCGAGAAAAGGAAACCTGGCTCTCCTCCAGCTGCTGATGAACAGTGGGCGAGTAGATGTGGACTGCAAAGACAGTGTATGCACACAATGCACCTACACCTACGGCACTGATTTTACATCGCTTTCCATAGCCCGCTGCGCCGAGGGTGTGGCAGGGATCTAACATGAGATATTTGTGAGTCTTATGGCACTTAGGGATGATTTAAAACCTTCTCTTGTCGAGAAGCAAGTTTGAAACTCAAGATAAAATAGCGTGATGATTTACATCGGTGGCAAGGGGTTAGGAATTTGCCAGCACTCAAAAATGTGTCTTACACAGTTATTTGTGGCGCTGACATTAAAAACACAGATCCTAGCACCTCGGGCTTCTCTTTGCAAGAAAATGTCATTGTAGTAATAGATCACGGTGAAGAGTCAACTCGACTGAGCCCAGGTAGCAATGATTCTGTCAGCTAGCAGAGCTCCTGATAATTAGTTTTTTTAAAAAATAACCTTGGACCACAGTTTCCATGTAGGCAATGTAGAAGTGTGCATTTGGTGCGCAGCTGTTCCCGCCCTGTGCGGCATGCAGTGTCCTACACCCAGCAGTGCCGTCAGAAGAACTGCCGGCCTCCTAACTTCTTCCTCCCCTATAGCCCAGTATCTCCTGGACTTGGCACCAACATGAAGGCACAGTACGATTTCCAAGCAAAGAGGAGCCCAGATACATGACAGAAAGATTTCATGGGGATTTCCTTACTGTAACTGGCATGGGTTGAAATTAGTTTTGAGATTAGAAATGGGTTGAAAACACAGATAACGGGTATGTCTCGCTATTCTGCTTACAACATATGGAGAGATACCTGATAGTACTAAGCTACTGCAAAGAGCAGGGGAAAACCGAGGTTGAGAAGCTCCCAGGTTTCTTTTGTTTGGTGCTGGGACTGACTTACTGAGAGTCGTGCCTGTGTTGTACAGGGTTAGTGCCACTTCCAGCCTGAAACATGAACCTGCCACAGCTTCCCTCACTTTGAATACCTTCAAAGTGCAAGAGATTTTCTAAGCCCATTGACTTTAACCTATCTTTTCATTTTCATTTCGTTTTTGCCCTGTAGGCAAGTGTTTGTCCTGCAGTGCTTCTGGAGCTGATGCTATGACTGTCATTCTGACAGGGAGGGAAGGATGTTCAGGTGGGGGCATGAAGTAAACAGGACAGAGATCGATGTAAAGAAACAAGGTCCACTACTGCTCATTTTTTCTCCAAAGAAGGCTAACTTTGGTCAAGAATTTTTACAATGCACTGTAAAATATCCTGACTTATTAATTATATCAGGCATACACATTTTCTAGACTAAAATATTTTCATATGATTAAGGCTGCATGCTTCTTTTTTGTAATGTCACACATTCCTTCTTTAAAGTGAACTGCTGTGTGTGAATGTTTTAGAAGGATGAATTTCATCCTTATGCATGTGGTTTCCACGTATTGTCCATGCACCACATACATATAACCTAAATCTTACTTGGTTCACTGGAGCAGTGACCTTATGGTGTACTGAGGGAAGTTGAACGCTTAGTTCTGGTATGGAAAGTTCTCTCATATAATGTGAAGAGTCACAGAGTGAGTTTGCTCTCATCGTTTGGATAGGGAATTAGTATTCGAATCACCCAGACCTTACTCCTGACTATGACTCAGAATTAAGTGACTCAGCTGAGTCACTCACCTCCTGTGTCTAAGGTTATTCTTCTGGAAATGATGCAAAGATCTTTGGGATTCTCTGATAAAAATGCCGTGTATAAACCAAAAATATTCTTGTTATTCTTGTTTCACTCATTTTGGGATAATAAGATGAAGTCATTGCATACGTATTTGGTGAACGGTCAGGCCTTAGCACTGCAGGCATGTCTGTAATGTTTTTGCTTTAACATCTGCTAATTGCTCATTTTCAAAGTATTCTTGATAGTAAGTTTTAAATGATAGCAGGTTTTTCAATGATCATAAGCTTCCTTCAGCTTTTCAGAAGAGGTGCTGTCTCTTCCAGACAGCCTGATTCATTGCTGGAGGTGTCTGTTGAAGGTACTGACTTGTTTTTCCTTACTCCCAGCTCGGCACAACAGCTCTGATGGTAGCATCTTACTATGGCCACACAGATTGTGTACGGGAATTGGTGTTGCAAGGAGCAGATATCAATCTGCAGAGAGAGGTAGGAGAAGTTCTGCATTCAAACAGGGATTGATTAAATGATCGTTGGTTTATTACAAATAATAAAAGAGTGTTGTCTATTCCTTTTTGCCAATTGCTTATTTGTCACTTGCTGTGCAGTGCATGTATAAACAGGGTCTGTTCTCCTGAGAACAACAAGGAATCAGATGTCTGCAGTTTATAATAGAAAATGAGGTGCCAGAGGTACATTTATGAAAAAATCATCAAACATTTCCAGCACATCTAGTTGGTGAGGGACAGTTACATCTGAGATGTAACCCCCCAGGGTTACACCATTTATGCATCTGTAGTTTTACTTATTGGCACAGTAGTTTACAGCTGTCTGGATGGGAGAAATGGTAAGGAGAAGTCCTTTACCTTTTGATTTGCAGAGTCTGGTCATTAAAATGGAGTGGCTGCCATTGCTAGCCCAGGGATTATTTTGACTCGGTATGCTTTGGAGTTTCTGCCTCTTAGTCTGAGCAAAGTAATCTCTAACAATCACACAGCTTAATCACCCGTACCCTTCCCTGCATCTCTGCTTTGCATTCAAGATGCTTGCTTGTGGAAAGGACAATGTCAGTGGCTGGTTTTGGGAAAGTGCCTGCCCCTCATACTCTGCTCAAATGATTGTAAGAAGTACCTGCAGCCACTCTGGTCTGTGTGCTGGCTACACAGAGAGCAGAATTGCTCTAGGACAGCAACAGTTGTACTGGTCCAAAGAGAAAAGCAGTTTAAGGAGGGCATGCAGTAACATGGGACGGCAGCAGGCAGCGCAGGACAGGAGTATGCTCGTCGCTTTAACAATACAAGCAAATGTTTCTCACTTTCCTTGGTTACCTGGAACTAGAGCATTAATCTCATGCTGACATCCGCAAGTTACTGAGTCAGTGAATGCCATGTTTGATGATACAAATGTCTTTGCACTTACTGGCCTAAACTTGCTCTAACCGTGACTGTCAGTGGCTTTCAGTGGGGTCCTGTTCCAAAAAAACATGAATTTAAACATGTCCCTTCCCTTAGGTAAACATTGCTTGAAAGGCAGCAACAAAAGGAAAAGTTGAGAACAGTTTTATGGAGCTGCTCTTGAGTACCTCTCAGGACATACTGATTCAGCAAACCAACAAAAAGAGAAATGCTGAAATCCTCCAGAATCACCCTGTTGCAGAGAGGAAGCAAAACAGATGAAGTTTAAGCCCTAAAGACCAACGGCACTGTTCTGAAACTAAATCCACATACTCAAACTAGTGCTCTTGTACTCTGAAGTTGTTGTGAAGATTGGGAAAGTGAGAGTGCCATAAGTGTATCTGGGAAAGGGGGCTCTGAAATGGTCCCACGGGGCCACGTGCTATTGTAAAGGCTTTTGGCACTGGAGTGAATTTCATGTGTAGGTCTCTTTTCCTGCACCTTCTACATGGGATGAGAGAGCCCGTGTCAGGAAGTCAGGAAAGCCTGCTTGTCTTCTTCCTTCCCCTTCCTTCCCCTTCCTTCCTTTCCTTTTTCCTTCCTTCTTCCCCTTCCTTCCTTTCCTTTTTCCTTCTATCCAGCCATTAAAACCTTACATATTCATTTTTTGGGTCCTGATTTACTCACATGTTAAGGACAGTATTTTATACTAGTATATTTTTATACTAGTATAAAATACAGGGTTTCAGTTCTTCAGCGAGGTTAAGGGAAAGCAGGAGTTGCAGGGCTGGTTATAGTTACTTGAAGGCCGCTTGGGTGGATGGGGATCTACTGCTGCAAGAGACAAGGATGACTTACGCCAACAGCAGTCCCATTTTGTCAGTGGAGAGTCAAGCAAGGTGGAGCTCTGCTGTACTAAATAACCACCTCCCTGATCTTTCCACACCCTGATCCAAATCCATCCTGTGCTCCTAGTTGTCTCAGGTTGTAGCGGCAGGGGGAATAGGGGTCGATTTCAAATTGGCTGTTCCTCTGTTGTGCAAGACGGTTCTTTTCTCACTCTGGGCTTGCTTTCCCTATCTGGTGACTGGGTAGAAGTGAGTGAATCCTAAGAGGTCTATTTTAGAAACTGTGCAGGAGCCCCCTGTGAAACTTGGATTTTACTCAAATGTATGATGCTGGACAGATTTCTCGGTACAATGGGAAGAAAACTGACCTAAGATACCTGGTGTCCTCTGGAGTCCTCAAAATCATCGTGTCTTTTCAGATGATATTCAACTGATTGTGCTCAATACTTTTTAATTTGACATATATATACTTCAGTCAAGTGTGTTATGTGTTTGGTTTTTTTTTTAATCAATTTTTTCCTTACAGTCAGGTGCAACTTCTCTGTTCTTTGCTGCACAGCAAGGCCACAACGATGTAGTGAAGTTTCTCTTTGAATTTGGAGCTTCCACTGAATTTAAGAATAAAGTAAGATGATGGGTCTATTTTTGCATGCTGATCTGTTCTGACAATGAAGGCTGTTTTTTCCTATTCACATGAAACATGATATGGCAGCAGCAAGATGATAAAAGGATTTCCTCACTTGAACATTTTCTGAGTAATGCAACATATTGTGAAAATATTAACTTGGGACTAGCTTTTACTACCTAGACTTAATGGCATAAGTTGATCGAAGATCAGTCCCTTGCTAGTGGTATCAGTCTTCCCTCTTAAGCCATCCTCCAATACAAGAACAAAGGGTCTTTTTGTACATGTTAGGTAGGATCCCATTTTATGTGTATATGTACTTGCATAGACTGAAATTTCGTCTACATTGGGACGTCTCTGCATACCACCATAGGAGACATAAGAGTGTAATGGCTTCAATCCTCCCTAAATTCCCATCTACCCATCTATGACAAGAAGGTGAAATGCACCTCAGAGCTTCTATTTCTTTGTTCAGGCAGGTCCTTTTACAAAATCTTCTTAGAATAGCCGAAAGCACAGATGGCAGAGCCTGGGTCTGGTTCATCACCCCTTACGGGGTGAACAGCATTAAGAACAGCAGTTCATCACTGACAGCAGTACATCAACTCAGTTTCTTTGCGCAAGGCAGTACTAGCACCCCTGCTGTCAGCAAACAGAACCAAAAGCACCAGATTTTCATTAAATATTCTTGCCCTTGCCATGCTGGCCACATTTGGGAGCATTCACAGAATCTGGGGAGGACACTTGCCAGTCACATACCCTGGGATCCATAGTGATGTGTTTGAAGAAGAAGGAATAGTTCTTTACCCCACAGTAACCAATTTTTCAAGATGCTATAGTCTGTGATTTGAATGACTCCCTCAACCCATACCTGCTTTCCAGAGTCCCTGGAAATACAGGCTTTAAATATTAAGAGAATTGATGGAACGTCAGAGACTTAACTCCTTAGGCTTCAGGGACTGAAAATCCTGAGGTTTTGTGGCCAGAGTCCACACACTGCCATGCAGTAGGACACACTGCCATGCAGTGGGATTCCAGTACCCCAGGGAGCTATGCTTGTGGTTAGCAACTCTCTGACCACAACAGCAATCAGTGAATTTAAAAACATGAATGAAATTGTGGCTGTTTAACACAACATGGAATGCAGCTGTGAAACTTGGCAATGTGGGAGGTTGCAAGGTTAAATACAACAGCTGGATTTTGAAGTGCTGGATAATCTCATTTGGGACAGAGCTATCGGGAGAAGCTGCACATTAAAATAAGGGTTGCTTCTCAGTCTTTTATTTCAGGGTATAGGTGAGGGTTAGCAGAATTCAGAAATTTCATCATCTCTTGCATTCAGCTGTATACAGTTGAGCGAGTGAACTTACACTGTTCTTTGTGTCCTCCGGCCTATAAAAAGGCCACAAAGGCATGCTGAAGGAGCAAAGGTGTCCCAGGTGTAGGAAGAGCCTGGACTACTCACTGCAGCTCAGCATGCAATTGGGCAGTGTTTTTGCAGAGGAGGGGACAGCAGTGAATGCAGGAAACTTGTAAAGGAGGGAAGACAGAGGCTGGACACAGGAATCCAAATGCTTACAGCTTCCAGACCGGGCTTTGGTAACCCACCGAATTTTTAGACTGAGGCTGGGTGGGAAACCGACTTGTACTTTGTGCAGCAGTGTGTGCCTGAGCAGGAGGCATCATTGAGAACGTACTGCATTGACAGTATGCATGTTCCATTGGCCTTCTGGTGTGTTTTTGTATCAGTTCAATTTTCTGATTTAATAATGTGGTTTTCATAGCTCGGAATTATTCCATCCGACCATGGTTCTGTTAACGGGCGACTAAGATAACAGGCTCCTCCATCCCCCCCAAGCCACAGAAACTATATAGTTGACAAAATACGCCTTTTCAGGTCAGAGATAAGGCATTTTCTGATTAAGGCACTCAGCTGGGAGCAGCGCTGGAAAAGATATGGCTGATCCTGGCTATTTTTAAAGGGCACTGCAAAATTTGCAAAGGACTTTCTATTATAAATGAAGATGTGGAATTGAAATAAGAAAACAAATTGAATGTATCCTAGGAAACAGAGACTTTAAAGCAAGGAAATGCAAAGCCCAACATCTTCTTTTTCATGTGCCTCTCTGTAAATTGTAATTACTACATTTGTTACTCATACACGAGATTGTTGGAGAACTATCTTAACATAGGCATTCAATTCTTGTTACCCCTTGTATCATTAGAGTTGATATTCACTATGGCAGGCAAAGCAAATGTTCTAAAATAGTGTAATAAAGTAATTAGCAATAATTACTGATGTTGTAAAGAGAATAAATAGTGCTATTGAAGTTTATTATATATTTATTATAAAATACATATTGTTCAATAATATTATTCTGCCTTGTCCCACTCCGGCATCCTTAGAAGTATGCATCATAAATTGAAATAAGTTCTCTTTTCTTACTCTGAGACATGTTAAAAGCATGTGGGTTCTTAAAAAGGGTTTGCATGGTGGCATGTTTTCTGAGCAATACTGCAGGTCGAACGGTATGTCAGAGGCTATTTTTCAGCAGGTAATGATTGCAGAAGATCAGTTCCCCTCCTTTGTAGCATATTTCAGAGATGATGAAACACCGTATAATTCTAAGCTACTTTCAGGCGATGATGACAGAGGTGTAGGAAGAGGTAGGCAAATAGGGAAGTCTACACCGGATAGCATGGTCTTATCGGGTGCTGCTGTTCCAAGTGCTTACACGGGAGATTGGCAGCTGCTCTGTGTGCTGCCAGTAGGGAGGACAGACTGGGGGTGGGTAAGAAAAATGGTTTCAGAGGAAGAATTGCAGAGGTAGCTGAGAGAACTGGCTCCTACCTGAGCTGGAAGGGTTTGCAGTGAAGCATAAGAAGCTACATTGTGTCAGGAAAACAGGATATGAGCCAGAAATAAACCCAAGGCGATGTGCCTTCTCTCAGCTGCACCACCAGCGATGGCCCTAGAAGTGCCTCTGTGGTTGCTCACGTGCCCCTGCTCCCACTTGCTGCCCTGCTCAGAGTTTCCAAGAGGCTTGCCAATACCAAAGGTGCTGCTTCAGCTTTTTACTCATCTCAGCTGAAGCCAAAAAGGAAAGAAAAGAGGGAATCACAAGGCTGAAAAGGATTTTAAAACTCTGTCATTTACTTCCTCTTTTTTTTTTTTCATAACTCATCTGCCTTCCCAGTAGCCTGTAAAACATTGGGGTCTCCAGCTAGAACTTGCTGGAGGAAAGGCTTTTGTGCTGGCAAAAAGGGAAGAAAGTGTAAGAGAAAGCAAGATGGAAGCTCAATAGGGGTGGGAGGGGGCTGAGTTTTTCTCCTCCTAAGAAACCATGGACCTTCACACTGTTTGACAATTCCTTGATTTAACTGAGTGCTGTCTTACCACATGGTCTTTTCAGTGAAAAAGATTTCTCGTCCCAGCTTCCCTTTTCTTACAGCAAGACCTGTCTCTTTATCAGAGCATTCAAATGAATCTCAGTCTCTTCTTTTGAATGTATTCAATTTCATAGGAGACACAGTAGAGCAGGTCTTAGAGCCCAGTTGCCTTCTCGATCAAGGGCCAAACCTTTGAGCCAAGGAATTGCTACCCAATTCTCTCTGGCCCAGTAAATATTTGATTCAGGGTGGGCAGCTAGAACTGGGGACTACCCAGTGCTTTTTTCTGATCCCTGGACCCTGATCAGGGTGATCTAGGAAACTTGGTCACTCTAGTCTGAAAGATCTAAATGGTATACTTTGGAAATGTGTTATTCTTCCAAAAAATGTATCTGTCTAAAACTGTTCACCGAATTCAACCAAACACTTGGTCAGGATCCCCATTTGAGACACTTAGACATATCCTGCGAGAAGTGTCTCCCTTCTTAAACCTGACGCTGTGACATCTCCCAAGGCGGGATCACACAGTTGGACTCCAAGCGTTGGGCTTCAGCTCTGCTGTGCTAACTGCGGTTAGCTTTGCAGGCCTGCCTTTTATTTGGGACCTGTCATTTGGTTCCCTCCAGAAATTATGTTAATGCCTAAACAATCTTCTTAAAATAACAGGAGTTTTTTGAGAACACAAGAATTTTAGAAAACAAAAAACAGACCATAAAGCAATAAACAAACTATTCCCATATGCAGCTAACTGAGCATGTCTATTTACCCTCCATGCAGGGAACCGCAATATTTTTAAGCTTCCTAAAACTCATCCTTCCCTGCCTCTCCACAGAGGGCCTCCAATCTGGATAGCAGAGTTTCTCTTCTTAACTCACTAACCTT